AGGAATATATATATATATATTTTTTTTTTAATAATTCATGTGTGTGTTTTATATTTTAAACAGTTTTTTTCCTGCATCTGGATCACATTCAGCCTAACCATTCATCCCTGCAGCAAAATATTACTTATAAGTGATCTAATCCTTGAGGTTATTAGGAAGCAAGCAATAGATCACTGCTGGAGTGATCTGTTACTGCTAGATAAGGCTGGGCAAAACTGGATCAACTCTGCCAAGCTGGGCTGGAGCTCACAGATGATGTCAGAGATAAAGCATTGCCTTACAGTTACAATATACTGCACGCTGGCTACGCTGCTTTATATCACTATTACAGTGTGCTTTGTTGCAGGATCGGCGGTCCATGGGATGAGTGATGGACTGTAGCTGCCACTAAATACTAGGGCGTCCAGTATCTACACATACAGGACTCAATGTGGCTACTTTAGTCAGGTGCTGCCTTAAAACAGGGTTGAGACATGTAACTGCTATCTCAGCATTGCCGCAAAAATGAACCTGTGAATTAAGTGGTTAATTATTGCAAAGAAAAACGTTCAAAGTGTCTATAAGTGGGAACTATAGTGTACTTTCAGTTAAAACATCATATTTAAATATTATAACAATCTTTACCTAAAATGACTTATTATTATAATTTTCACATTTGCACCTGCTTGCTGTTCCATATTTTACTACCAAGCAAAGAAACAGAGCCTGAGTATGTAATAATCAAGGACAGCTGCCTGCATGTACCTATATATTTGCATGAAAAAAAAAAAGGTTCCTAAAACAGTACCAGTTATTGATAATATTATTCACATTAGGCTGACCACCAGGCCCAGATCTAAGGGAGTGCTGGAGTGGGCTATGGCCCCCCAGATTTTAGTTGGTTCCCTTATATCTCTGACAGTGCATCTAACTAATCCATGAGACTTGATGGAGACAATCGATGTAATGGGGACTCTAATTGGTGACAGTTGATGTAAAGAGGAAATCTGATGTGGACATTTTATGTAAGGGACACTCTGATGAGGGCACCTGATGTAAGGGGGGACTCTTATAGGAATCCTGATGTAAGGGGGAACTCTGATGGGGACAGTTGATGTTAGGGGGCACTTTGAGTAGAGGAAATTATATAAGGGTGCACTCTGATGTGGACATTTTATGTAAGGGACGCTCTGATGAGGACAACAGAGTTAAGGGGGGACTCTAATAGGAACCCCAATGTAAGGGGGAACTCTGATGGGGACCTTTGATGTAAGGGGGCACTTTGAGGGGAGGAAATTATGTAAGGGGACACTCTGATGTGGACATTTTATGTAATGGAGACTCTGATGAAGACACCTGATGTAAGGGGGGACTATTATAGGAACCCCGATGTGAGGAGGAACTCTGAAGAGGACAGCTGATGTAAAGGGGCACTTTGAGGGGAGGAAATGATATAAGGGTGCACTCTGATGTGAACATTTTATGTACAAGAGACACTGATGAGGACACCTGATGTAAGGAGGGACTGTTATAGGAACCACGATGTAAGGGGGCACTTTGAGGGGAGGAAATGATGTAAGGGTGCACTCTGATGTGGACATTTTATGTACAAGAGACACTGATGAGGACACCTGATGTAAGGGGGGACTCTTATAGGAAACCCGATGTGAGGGGGAACTCTGATGGGGACAGTTGATGTAAGGGGGCACTTTGAGGGGAGGAAATTATATAAGAGTGCACTCTGATGTTCACATTTTATATAAGAGACAATCTGATGAGGACTCCTGATGTAAGGAGGGACTCTAATATAAGGGGGGCACAGGTTATGATTAATCACTCTAATACATACTAGTTTTCTCTGTTCACTCCTGCACCGCTTCTGTACTACCTGTCAGATGTAACTTCTGGATTGTGACTCTTTGGTACAGAATCATGCAAAGTGAACAGGGAATACTGGTTCCATGCATCTCTGTCACACTATTGACATTTAGGGGTTGATTTACTAAAGACAAATACACTTGCACCATACAAAGTGCAGTTGCATTCTGCAAGTGCAGCTGCTCCAGAGCTTTATAAATTAGATAAAGATTCGCTTTGCAAAAAATACCCAATCACGTGCAAGGAAAATTGAAAAAAAACACTTTTGCTTACACATGATTGGATGGTGGAAGTCAGCAGGGCTTCTGCTCATTTATTAGGCTCTGGTGCAACTGCTCTTGCAGAATGCAACTGCACTTTGCAAAGTGCACAGTCTATATGCCTTTAGTAAATCAACCCCTGTGTCTCCTGACCCTTTTTTTAACTGCACCCCAGATAAGATAGGCTAGATCCGGCCCTACTGACCACAATCACACATATCATTTAACATTACCAGCCAAATCTGTAGTTTCCCTTTATGAGTCATTGTTATAAATGTTTTCACACAGTCTTGTAACTGAACAAACTACATTAAAACTTTGGCCTTAGAGTAGTGAGCGTTTACTTAACAATGGGAATGCTCATTTAGTTTAGTGAAGCTACAAGTGAAACTCGAAAAATTAGAATATCGTGCAAAAGTTCATTTATTTCAGTAATGCAACTTAAAAGGTGAAACTAATATATGAGATAGACTCATTACATGCAAAGCAAGATAGTTCAAGCCGTGATTTGTCATAATTGTGATGATTATGGCTTACAGCTCATGAAAACACCAAATCCACAATCTCAGAAAATTAGAATATTACATGCAATCAATAAAACAAGGATTGTACATAGAACAATATTGGACCTCTGAAAAGTATAAGCATGCATATGTACTCAGTACTTGGTTTGGGCCCCTTTTGCAGCAATTACTGCCTCAATGAGGCATGGCATGGAATCTATCAGCCTGTGGTACTGCTAAGGTGTTATGGAAGACCAGGATGCTTCAATAGCGGCCTTCAGCTCTTCTGCATTGTTCGGTCTCATGTCTCTCATCTTTCTCTTGGCAATGCCCCATAGATTCTCTATGGGGTTCAGGTCAGGCGAGTTTGCTGGCCAATCAAGCACAGTAATCCCACGGTCATTGAACCAGGTTTTGGTGCTTTTGGCAGTGTGGGCAGGTGCCAAGTCCTGCTGGAAAATGAAGTCAACATCCCCATAAAGCTCATCTGTGGAAGGAAGCATGAAGTGCTCCAAAATCTCCTGGTAGATGGCTGCGTTGACCCCGGACTTAATGAAGCACAGTGGACCAACACCAGCAGATGACATGGCTCCCCAAATCAACACAGACTGTGGAAACTTCACACTGGACTTCAAGCATCTTACAGTGTGTGCCTCTCCATTCTTCCTCCATACTCTGGGTCTTTGGTTTCCAAATGAGATGCAAAAGTTGCTCTCATCAGAAAAAAGGACTTTGGACCACTGAGCAACAGACCAGGTCTGTTTTTCTTTAGGCCAGGTAAGACGCTTCTGACATTGTTTGTTGTTCAGGAGCGGCTTGACGAGGAATACGTCATTTGAAGCCCATGTCCAGGATCCGTCTGTGTGTGGTGGCTCTTGATGCACTGACTCCAGCCTCAGTCCACTCCTTGTGAAAGTCCCCAACACTTTTGAATGGCCTTTTCCTGACAATCCTCTCCAGGCTGCGGTCATCCCTGCTGCTTGTGCACCTTTTTCTTCCACACTTTTTCCTTCCACATAACTTTCTCTTAATGTGCTTTGATACAGTACTTTGGGAAAATCGAACTTTCCCTCCTTATGGAGGGTGTCAATGATGGTTTTTTGCACAACTGTCAGGTCAGCAGTCTTTCCCATGATTGTGATTCCTACTAAACCAGACTGAGAGACCATTTAAAGGCTCAGGAACCCTTTGCAGGTGTTATGGCTTAATTAGCTGATTAGAGTGGGACACTTTGAGCCTAGAATATTGCACCTATTCACAATATTCTAATTTTCTGAGATTGTGGATTTGGGGTTTTCATCACATTTATCATCACAATTATGACAAATCATGGCTTGAACTATCTTGCTTTGCATGTAATGAGTCTATCTCATATATTAGTTTCACCTTTTAAGTTGCATTACTGAAATAAATTAACTTTTGCACAATATTCTAATTTTTTGAGTTTCACCTGTATGTTCAGTCTCTAAAATGTTCAGTTAAAAACATAAAAAATTCACTTAGCCTTATGAAGAAATTAAAGTGATGTGTTTCAGTCTGTTGCCATTGCAATATGTTGTATTGTTACAATTGTGCATCCACTGACACCTAGTGGTAGGAACTTGTTTATTTGTGGATCTGGTGATCTCCCTTCTTCCTTCTCTTGTTTAGTGCTAGTTAGTACAGTCCTAGGTAGACTCTTCCTGCTTGTTAGTTTTAGTTTCATTGCAGAGACAGGGCTTAGAAAAGTATTTTCTTCTTACAATTCAAAAGACCGAATAACATCCTCTATACTGTTCTTTGTGAAGTAAAATTGTGTTGGCTTCTGTGCCTTATTGAAGAGTTTACCTGTCTGTAGATTTTTCTGACTCCGCAAGTTGTCATTCTGTCTGGACATATTAAGATCTATAGATGCATATCACTGTTAAAAATGGAAGTTAAAACAGAACATTAGTCATCCAATCATGTGCACTAAAAAATCCTAAACAACAGGGCTGAATCTAGGGGGTTCTGGGGAGGCTGTTCCCCCCCAGATTTTATCTGTGCCCCCCAGATCTCTGAGAGTGTATCCACTGATCCATGAGCCTGTCTGATGCAGACAGTTGATGTAAGGTGGCACTCTGATGGGGACAATCCGTGTAAGGGGGCACTCTGATGAGGAGGCATTGGATGAAAGGGGCACTCTGATGGGGATAACTGATCATATGTAAGGGGACACTCTGATGAAGACAGTTGATGTAAGGGACACTTTGATGGGGACAACTGATGTAAGAGAGCACTCTGATGGGGACACCTGATGTACGGGGGCACACTGATGGGGATAACTAATCATATGAAGACAATTGATGTAAGGGGGGACCTTATTAGGAACACGGATGTAAGGGTGCACTTTGATGGGGATACCTGATATAAGGGGACACTCTGGTGGGGACCCTGATGTAAGGGGGCACTCTGATGGGAACCCTGATGTAAGGGGATACTCTGATGTGGACCCTGATGTACAGGGGCACTCTGATGGGGATAACTAATCATATGAAGAGAATTGATGTAAGGGGGGACTTTATTAGGAACACTGATGTAAGGGTGCACTTTGATGGGGACACCTGATATAAGGGGGCACTCTGTTGGGAACCCTGATGTAAGAGGACACTCTAATGGGGACCCTGATGTAAGGGGACACTCTGATAGGGACCCTGATGTAAGGGGGCACTCTGATAGGGACCCTGATGTAAGGAGACACTCTGATAGGGATCCTGATGTAAGGAGACACTCTGATGGGGACCCTGATGTAAGGAGAAACTCTGATGGGGACTCTGATGTAAGGGAGCACTCTGATGGGAACCCTAATATAAGGGGGCACTCTGATGGGGACCCTGATGTAAGGGGACACTCTGATGGGGACCCTGATGTAAGGGGACACTCTGATGGGGACACTGATGTAAGGGGACACTCTGATGGGGACCCTGATGTAAAGGGGTACTCTGATGGGGACCCTGATGTAAGGGGGCACTCTGTTGGGAATCCTGATCTAAGGGGGCACTCTGATGGGGACCCTGGAATAAGGGGGCACTCTGATGAGATCCCTGATTTAAGGGGGCACTCTGATGGGGACCCTGATGTAAGGGGGCACTCTGATGGGGTCTGATAGAGACATCTTATATAACTAGGAACAGGCTCTGTTTAATCATCCTAATCTAATGAAAACCTAATACATAATAGTGTTTCCCAGGTCATGAGATTTTGTAATAGACTGCCAGTGACTCACACACAGTGCTGACAATATGTCCCCTGACTTTTTTTTTACTGCACCCCCAGATCAGATAGGCTAGATCCAGCCCTGCTAAACAAATTAATAGAATTAAGCCTGTGAATGTTCCCTTTTTAAAGTAAATGTTCACAGAGCTTAGCAAATACGATGAAGCTGTGCTTACTTCAACCAGTCATGTGCTATAAAAACTTCAGAACTTGATTGGGTAGTCAAAGTGAACACTGATTTACCTTATTAACTAACCTTCACGTGAACATAATGGGGTAGATTTACTAAAGGAGTAGAGGCTGTCCACCTAGCAATGTGAATGTTAACAAATTGAGTGAACATGTGTTCACATTGAATATGCTAACAAAATTTCTGTTTGTTCAATTTCTCTTGCACTTGCATAAGTTCACTCTATTTACCAAGTTTCACGTTATAAAGTGAGTAGTCATTACTGCTTTAGTAAATGAAACCCACTGTGTTCACCTTTTAAATTCATGCTGAGTAATCAATAGTGGAAAACTATAGGTTTTCCCTTTATTTCAATCTGTGACACGTCCACAAAGAGCATATCATCAATGGCATTGAAACGGAAGCAGAAAATACCGCAGACAATTATCAACATTTCTGCGCTTAGATCAAATTTATTTTTACTTTTACTATTTATACTATTTATTATTTACTATTACTTATTAATACTTAGTAAGAAGAGACTGACAGACTCTAAAAAATTATGTTATGTTGTCTAATTAACAAGCTGCTAGATGACCAAGCATTCCATAACAGGTGACAGATGCCTATAAGTGATAAAACCTGCATTAGATTGCATTTCTTTATTTATAGCAAACCACTCCTGCTAGATTATTTTTATATATTGAATGTGAAATATTTGTACTCCTGGTATGTGACATATGAACTCAAATCCACTGCATACAGGATATGCATTTTACATTTCAACCATTTGTCAGTTTCAGATCACCACTCAGACCTGCAAATTAATTTAGCACAAGGGAAAGCACGTCCCCACTCGGAGATAGGAGGGTGGGTTAGAGGGCAGTGGATGTGGGATGAGCATCAGACATGTGAGGGCAGGGTTCTTTGCGTTCTATTTTCTCTAATTAGAGGAAGATGTGGAGTCTTGGAAATGTACTGGAGCTTAGCAGTTTAATGCTGGAAGGCACACAATAAGTAAGGGATAAAAGGATCTGGGACTGAAGTTACTTTCTTAGTCTGACACATCAGTGCTTGGGAATCCACTGACACAGTTTTGGATTCGTTTGCTGGGTTCATGCATAATATGTGATGCTGTACAATGAAGCACACATCTGTTTCTGAAACACACTGTCAACTATATAGACTTACAGGAATTCAGAGAAATTACTGAACTGCATATACTGCGGTACAGTATATATAGTGTGCAATGCAGAAAATCATAATGAATGGAAGAATTCTCTAGGGCAAGTGGGGACACGTGCTTTTTTTAGTGCACTAATGTTATTTATACCAGCGGGAGTTGTAATTAAGAATGAGATTGAGAGCCATCTTGGGTCTGCATCAGATCTCACATTTTCATTGTTCGGATGCATAAGGTAGCCCATAGATGAGTCCGATTTTTGTGTTCAACGATAACAAAAACTGACCCAATTCCCTCATCCACACCCTTGCTGTGGATGGGGAATCCTCCTCACTAAGCTATTGTACTCTGTCAGCAAGGAGACTTTCCTGACATCAGAATACACTGATCAGCATTGCAGGCTATAGACTGCAGTGTTGATAGAGTGTGTGAAAATCCTACAGGACAGATGTGCAGAAGTTGATTTTTAGATCGATTTCTATATAACCTCCCTGTCAATTGATGCGTTAAAATTCAGCCGATCACTGACGAACCAATCTAATTTTGATCCATGTATGGCCAGCTTAAAGCGGTTCTAAAGGCTTGACATTTTTTACCTTAATTCATTCTCTTCCTTAAGGTAAAAAATGGCCCAATACTTGTGTAGCACTACCCCCTTAGGAGTCGCTAGAGATTTGGGTCTCCCTATAGTTCTGCACAGCCAGGCAGCACGCATTTCCTTCAGACCTTGCACACAGGAAACAGTAAACAGTCCTTGAGCTTGTTTTGTTTTATTCTATTAAGGGGTATTGAACTTGGATGGGATAGAGGGGTGTGTGGGATTGCTAGGTTAACTGTTTAACTGAGGACATCTTCCTGAAGCTATTTACAAGTACTCAGATGGGTTCTCTTTACTTTTCTTTTCTTCTCTTCTCTGAGAGCTATCCAGCCTCTCCTGGTGTAGGAATCCCTGGACAATGGGATCTGGAATTTGACTCTTAATGGAACAGTCCACCTGGGGCTAGTCAGGTTTCCCACCCAAATGCCCTCTCCCCTATTCCCGTCCAGGGGGTGTAGAAGTACTCACTGTCTCTCCTCTGTAAGCTGCAGGTTGGTAGCTGCTTTCAGGCCTCCTGCTGGACTAGCTCTTTCCTTATCTCCACAGATGGTCCTCTCTCAGGGGGCCAGTGAGGTTCAGTTTTTCTCCTGTCAACAACTCTCCTGGAGGCTGGCCCCTTCCTTGGGCCTCCTCCCAGGCTCCACACTCCAACTCCTGCTCTCACATCTTCCACCTGAACTCTCTCCTGCTGCTGAGCAAGCTCAGTCACTCTTAAGGGCTGTCCTGACCCCATGCCAAGCCTCCTGCTTGGGGATTGGCTAGGATCCCTTGAGAGTGCAGACCAGCTCCTCCTCACCCCCACCCACTGAGTTCTACAGACTTCTCAGAGTCTCTAGATCAGGGGAAGGTATCAGTGAGTTGATCTGCAGAGCCTCTCAGCCCTGACCCAAATATGACCCCCTGACTATTTCTCCCTGGCTGCTACTCAGTCTTCTAACTACACAAAATAGTTAACTAGCTCCTCCTAGCTAACTAGAGGGTGCTACACTGTATCGCCCCTCACCCCCCCGTATATTATCTGAGCTCAATCTGGAGCCAGTGCTGTGTCCATCTGCAGCAGTTCTCTCCTCTCTCTCTGCTCACAGAGACAACAATGGGAGCCATTGGCTCCTGCTGCTGTCAGTCAAATCCTGTGAGCAGAGAGTGGAGGGCAGTGGGTGGGCAGGGGCCATTTTGGGGGTGCCTATAGACGCACGCAGCCTGGCTCAGAAGTGAGCCCACAGGTGTGCCCTCATAAGAAGCGGTTTCTTATGGTGGTGCACCGTGAAAAAGCCCAGAGCCGAGAAAAGGAGGTTTGGGCAAAACCATTGCACAGAGCAGGTGAGCATAACATGTTTATTATTTACCTATCTAATTTATTGCCAGACATTTGCACCTAGCCCCATAATACACTTCAGGAGGTGTTTAGTCTTTGTGCACCACAATGTGAGCTAAAAGAAAAAAACAAATCTGTGTAGAGAGGGATGCTATCCTATACAGATATTTTATATTGTGCTATGCATTGCTATCCTGGGTTAAACACTACTATACTGTGTTTTATAAAATACTATATTGGGCTATATAATGCTATACTGTGCTACACAGTAATATACTGGGGTATAAAGTGCTATACTGTGCTATGCAATTGTATACAGTGCTATACTACGCTATACAATTCTGTACAGTGCTATACAGTGTTATACAATGCTATACCGTGCTATACAGTAATAATACAGTACATAACCCTTATCCCTGGTCAGATGAGTCCCTGAGAGCCAAAAATGTGTCAAAATGGACAAGCCAGCCCCCTCACTATAAAAGGGGCTCACAGTAGCCATATTGTCAGCACAGGTTGGAGCTGCTTAGGGCAAGCTGTCAAATCTGTGTAGGTAGGCATACTGTACTATATACTACTATACTGTGCTATACAATACTATACTGTTCTGTACAATGCTATACTGTGCTATACAGTGCTTTACTGTGCTATACAATACTATACTGTTCTGTACAATGCTATACTGTGCTGTACTGTGCTATACACAATACTATACTGTTCTGTACAATGCTATACAGTGCTGTACTGTGCTATACACAATACTATACTGTTCTGTACAATGCTATACTGTGCTATACAGTGCTTTACTGTGCTATACAATACTATACTGTTCTGTACAATGCGATACTGTGCTGTACTGTGCTATACACAATACTATACTGTTCTGTACAATGCTATACAGTGCTGTACTGTGCTATACAATACTATACTGTTCTGTACAATGCTATACTGTGCTGTACTGTGCTATACAATACTATACTGTTCTGTACAATGCTGTACAGTGCTGTACTGTGCTATACAATACTATACTGTTCTGTACAATGCTATACTGTGCTGTACTGTGCTATACAATACTATACTGTTCTGTACAATGCTGTACAGTGCTGTACTGTGCTATACAATACTATACTGTTCTGTACAATGCTGTACAGTGCTGTACTGTGCTATACAATACTATACTGTTCTGTACAATGCTATACTGTGCTGTACTGTGCTATACAATACTATACTGTTCTGTACAATGCTATACAGTGCTGTACTGTGCTATACAATACTATACTGTTCTGTACAATGCTATACTGTGCTATACAGTGCTGTACTGTGCTATACAATACTATACTGTTCTGTACAATGCTATACAGTGCTATACAGTGCTGTACTGTGCTATACAATACTATACTGTTCTGTACAATGCTATACTGTGCTATACAGTGCTGTACTGTGCTATACAATA